CTAATGATGTCATCTATCAACCCCAATAGGCTAATGATGTCATCCTATACACCCCAATAGGCTAATGATGTCATCCTATACACCCCAATAGGCTAACGATGTCATCCTATACACCCCAATAGGCTAATGATGTCATCTATCCACCCCAATAGGCTAATGATGTCATCTATCCACCCCAATAGGCTAATGATGTCATCCTATACACCCCAATAGGCTAATGATGTCATCCTATACACCCCAATAGGCTAATGATGTCATCTATCCACCCCAATAGGCTAATGATGTCATCCTATACACCCCAATAGGCTAATGATGTCATCCTATACACCCCAATAGGCTAATGATGTCATCTATCCACCCCAATAGGCTAATGATGTCATCCTATACACCCCAATAGGCTAATGATGTCATCTATCCACCCCTAATGGACAATGATCTCAACCTAGCAACCGTCCCAAAAATTATAGTTTACCTTTATTCCTTCTCCAATTCCTCACAGAAGATTTTTAAACACTAACGAACACTCGAACACACACACACACACACACGCACACACACACGCACACACACGCACACCAACACACACACACTTCCAGACACCCTGGGGTTTTGAATATTTCTGTACTCACTTAAGCTATAATAAAGTTCCCTTAACGTTCTAAAGTAGAGTTAATGTTTCATTAACCTTGGCCCATGAAAGGATAGTGTGGTCAGTACCATACACAGCCGCCTTTACTTCCTCTAGCGTGAGGCAGGTACCCATCAGATCTGAGTGGAATTTGTGACGTTCTGCAGTCTCAAGTCTGGCCCGAGCTCCGAACTCGAGACTAAGGGTAGATGTCGATGGATCTATCACCCAACCATGCCGTCCGACCACTTCAGGTATAAACAAATCTCAATTCTACAGCCACCAAAAATGTTGGCCATAATATTACAACTCTTGGGTTCTATAATGACAGAATGCTTGTAGCTTAAATGTACATATTTATTATTTGAGCTCCATTGCTATTCTAACTGCATTGGTAAATAAAACAAGACAGGTACCAACTTAAGGTATGAAAGAAAACTCACAAGTAGATTAAACATATGCCAGGTTTTCCCAGCATAACCGCCCCTAATTCTCATGTACATTTTACCAGGGGCGTGTACTTTTTATACGGGGGGGGGGGGGGTGACACCATTAAGTGCCGCACTTGCAGATCTAATGTTTTGACCTAATGTTTTGACCTTTTGTTGAATTTGTCACTCTGTGTTTTATCCAACGTGTGGTATTTTTGTCAGGTCTAGCTTCACCTGTTACAGATGTCATATTGTGGAACCTGAGTAAATAAATGAAGAAAAGTCGAGATATTTTGAAGTGTTTATTTTCGTGTTGTCACTTTCACCCCAGTGGTCTCCCATGCCATACACAACACAGAAAACACTTACGTCCCTTGACTAGGGACCTCCGTGACGTCAACCCACACAAATAGAACATCCGAAAGACACGTGATTGGTACGTTAGTGATGACGTCAGCAGCTGTCTAGTGACGTACAGCACAGTTTTGTGTTGTATTTTTTTAAGAATAGAACAAGTACATCTTCTCTCTGTTTGTTGATAAACACACGGTCATAAATAGACATACAAGTTATATCTAAATCAACTACAGACTATCTAGATAATATGTTTTAGTACAGTTAGCAATTAAAGAAAAAATAAATGCATTTTCCACTTTGGATTTTCACATTGCAAGACCTTACTGCCCAGTCAACACTAATGAAATCAATGCCTTTAACTTCTTAGCAATCACTATTTTCTTCAAACAAATATACTAAAATGCAACTTAATAATTCCATTTATATAACAAAGCTATACAGTTTAATTCAGTTTTCATAACCATATACATATTATAGATGTAAGTTGACATATTCTATATACAAATTGAAACTCTAAACCCAAATATATAAAATATATTGATTTTTCTAGTAAATACAATATTTATATAATTTTATGTGTATAGTTTAAATAGGGGAAAACTTGACGCCATGTACATTGTAACAATCATTCGGATTGGTCAAGTTTGTTTGAGCCTTGACCTTCTTGCCTATTGTAATATTACGTTTTTTGTGTGACCTAGGTTGAGGTCATATATTACCTGGATTGGATGTTATATCTCTGTATATCACTAGTAACTGCTAATGTATTAAGTGATGTAATCAGTTAGCTACACCAATGTAAAATATTTGACAGTTTTTTTATCTTTTATTCATGTATTTTGTGTAGTTTCGGTAAAAAAAAATATTTTTTCAAACTTAGTAAAAAAAATGTAAATGGATCTCGAATTATTTTTTTCTCATTTCTATAAAAGAAGAATAGATAGAGTGTCCGTTAGCATAATTCTACGGGTAAAGGTAAGATGGTATTTAGTCTAACCAACACGTACCTAGTCAAGTTTGAACTTGGCTTACAATTTTAAAATATGGCGTGAAATAAACTGAAAAATATACTGGACACAGAAAAAAAATATGACAAAATATTGCCTGTTACATAACGCTACAAAGTAAATACACACAAACAAGGTAATTACAAAATCATGACGATCTTTAAACCAGAATAACATTCAACGTTACACAAAACACATTTGGACAAACAGTCAATCCAACTAATGAACGCTACACAGTTAAATGCAGGATGTGCCTGTATCATCTTAACCAGGACACTTCAATTCGTGAGAACTGTTCTAGAACTATCCAAGAACTTTAGGTTTCAAGTAACTTAAGATGTAAATAACGGAATAAATCAGACGCACTGACAATATTCACGTATGTACTAACTTATATATATATATATATATATATATATATATATATATATATATATATATATATATATATATATATATATATATATATATATATATAACAACAAAACACTTTACTGATAAATTTTACTCATACAATTCCAATCCCATCACAGTGATCCAATATTTTGTGCACCAAATTATTTTAATTAAAAGTGACCTTTTAATGAGCACCCTGGCACACCTTGACCTGATTTAATCAAGTTAATTTTAACACCAATTCAAACTTTCAGGGTTGTTCGTCTAACCCACTATCCTGTACACGATCTTCTGTCTACTAAACTGTGTTTACAATGAGCATTGTTGTAGAAACAGCATTACCATCAGACACGATGATAGCAATTAAAATCTAACCAGTACAAAAAAAGGAGAATATATTTGGCTATTATCTTGGCTGTCGTAAACCTCGCTAGATTAGAAACACAAATTCATAATTTGAGCATCCATAAGACTGACTCCACGGAATACCAAGGACAATATCCAGACATAATAAATTGATAAAACATTTGGGGTCTAAAACAAACGTTTTGGTCTGGTTGATTGTCAACACTGAACCCTCTTTAAGTTTAGCCACTAACTACTAGTTCCAGGGAAGTAACTTTCACTAAGAGGAGGTAACTTTAGTAAAGTGGACGTAACTGAAACTAGACTTATAGTCTATAAGGGAGGTAATTTTATTTTATTTTTGATTAAACATTCATTTTGTTTTCTTTAAACAGAGTCTACCTTTTCATTGATAAGAATAAACTTTCAAATTAACCATATAATCTATATCATTGTGGCACCATCCTGTCATATAATTATATCATTGTGGCACAGCCCTGCCATATAATCTATATCATTGTGGCACCATTATGCCTTATATTGAAACCGATGTTACCAAAATATATATTCAAGTGGTCAATAAAACATTGTGTCAAATATTGTATCAATATGAACACATACAATTATTAGTTCACAAATAGCAAATAGCATAAGTGTTTAAACATTTTTTACATAAATATTTGTACATACACAGCTAGAGCTAAGGTATACGTCATATAAAGATTTTATTTTACATTAATATTGTACAATGAGTGAGTTTATGGTAAATTCATTTGTTCAATTTATTCAATTTATTTATTCAATAGCACTTTGTTCTCTATAGCTTTCTGTGTATTGTCAATTATGACTATTTAACATAGAGATACGTTTTGTAATTCATTTTTTTTTCTTGCTTACTAAGATTGTAGTTTGAAATTTAAGTCATCAAAACAATTTACATTCATGTAATGTTAGATAAAAGTATGTACCACATTAATGGTACACGCAAGACGTTTTTTTGACGAATAAATAAATTATATTTAAACAAAATAAAATTAATGTAGATACAAAATTCATTATGTCGTCACGTGGAGGTAGATATTTAATTAGTGCCAAATAATTTATGCAGAGTTTTCTATTAATAAGTTTCAATTAAATTCACTACAGATAACTCTTTTAGTCAAACGTAGCTTGTATTTCAATCATCAACCAACACGAGTAAGAAATGCTATACTCATCAGTTTGATTGTATAAATAAGGTCTAAGGACCTTGAGCAGTAGAGTGACCTGTCCGAAATGGCTGGATTGGAGAAAGTTGCAGTTATCAAACGGAACAACTCTAAATATAAATTGCTGTTATTAAACTCCAAGGTGCAAGAACAGGAGTTAGACCAAAAACCTGATGACTTATTCTCGAGGGTGACGCATGAAACAGGCAGGTCAAGAAAGCTTGAAGATTTATTTCGGAGGATCAAAGAAAATGATATCACTACAGGGGACGGTTGTAAGGACTAGTTCATTATCTAGTTGCCTGGGAAATTTCTTTTCGTGCCAAAGTCCACTGAAACAGTGGGCTGAACACTACTAGTACTAACATCAAAACTCTGTTAAGTGAATCTATCCTAAATTGTGTAGGCAAGTGTGATGCTAGGCATACATTATTTTCACTATGAAATCGTCATACTTTTACAATATTATGAACATCATCGTTTTATAACCATTGATTTCACATTTTTGTTTTAAATTCAGCTTTTCATTTCTGAACATAACTTCTTACTTGTAAATTCAGCTTTAACATCTGAAAATCCATTTCACATTTTGAAAATTCGAAACATAATCTTGACCACGTTGAACACGACCTTCGCCAAGCAAAAGTTTAGGGCTAATTAAAGCCTCATGTTTAAAAAAGGGAAGCGTCATCTTAAGTAAGTCTAACATGAGCCCATTAGTCAAGTACCGTGACATGGTATTATTATGTTAACATTTCACTGTCATTTAGTAGAAACATACGTGACCTGTATGCTTTTAAACATTTTCACATACTTTTCCACAATCTTCAGTAATAATGTACGGATTTTGTTTTTCTGTCAAACGTGAGCCTTCTCTTCAGATGAAAACATATAGAAACAATTTGCTTTTATGTGAGTATATCATTACAATCCCATATGCCACATGACAAATGACATCTAGCAAGGCGAAATGTCAATGATAACAAATGACATGCTTGGGCGGCTTGAGGTGATATTGGCCGTTAGACCAAAGCAACGACGGCAGGACATAAGTCCTCACACAGCCGAGCGGTGACGTCATCGTTCAGGACATCACAGCGTGTAAAAATGTCCTGTGCAAATGTCCTGTGAAAATGTCCTGTGAAAATGTCCTGTGCAACAAATGTCCTAGCTCAGTTACACCGGTGCAGCGTCTTGACCGTCTTGCACGTATTACAATCGACCTTGCAGCACCAAATGAACCGGCAGTTGCAGTTCTCGTCCACGGTCACGTGGGTCTTCGTGTAACCACGGTTACAGCACAGCAGGTCGCACCCGCCCACCCCCATCGAATCCGGGTCGCACTCCCGACCCTTCGTCCCTAACGACCCCACCTTGGGGTTCTTCTTACAAAAGTCCGGGGACGGGTCCGAGTACACCAGGTCCTCCTCTGACGGGGGTTTGATCGTGGACCCCTCAGGGAGGATGTACTTGCCGTCGTTGGAGATGATAACTTTGATGGAGCCGTCGAAGCGTTCCTTCAGCCTGTTGCCCACCTCCCTGAAGGACGGGATCTTCATCCAGCAGGTTTTCAGCGTGCAGGAGCCTGAGAGACCGTGGCACTTACACTCCCGTCTCATGTTGCTCTTTACGGCCTGCAAGACAGAAAGTTACAGGTTTTTACAGGTTGTTACAGGTTGTTACAACTTCTAACATAGACAGTGTTGTGTACTCAAGAATTTTTAAATAAAATGTAACACAAAACTTGTGATGTAATTGTTATTTAAAGCAGCGGATGAGGTCATTGCATAAGTTAGTTAGCCCTGATGTTACTATGCAGGTTTATTTTTTTTTTAAATCATTACAACTCAATCCTGCTCTCGTACATTCCTACACACCTACACACACACAACCGTACACACACCATCACAGACACACGCGCAGACATACATCTGCACACACCACACGGGTATCACACACTTGCGCGCAATATTACACACACGGGCAATCTTACACACACGCACACTCAGACGCACACACACACACCCTATCACACGCGCACACAAACGCATACACACACCTGCACACATACACTTTCACAGCACACTCCCAAACACCCTCGCACACCCTTATCCAATAACACACATGCTCACACAACCCCACACACCCGCGTAACCACTCCCACACACCTGCACAAGCCCACCCAATATTAACCTAAAAGCTCCTAGCCCCTCATCAAACCCCAACGCCTCAGTCACTATGTTTTATTTTCCCATCAAAGTTGAATTTTTTTCTGGCACCGTAGAGGCAGCGGATAACGGACCGAGAGGTTCACACAACATTAAACTCCGCTCTGCTCTACAACATCACCACATCAAAGACAGCAAAACACTATCCTTACTTCCATCAAAACCTTATCCTAACTTCAATCAAAACGCTATCCTAACTTCAACCGAAACACTATCCTAACTTCAATCAAAACACTATCCTATCCTAACTTCAATCAAAACACTATTCTAACTTCAATTAAAACACTATCCGATCCTAACTTCAATCAAAACACTATCCTAACTTCCATTAAAACACTATCCTTACTTCAATCAAAACGCTATCCTAACTTCAATCAAAACATTATCCTAACTTCAATCAAAACACTATCCCCACTCTAACTAAAACACTATGTAAGCACTGACTAGAATAGTTAGTCACCCATATTTTACCATACATCAGTACTCACTCAAGGCTTCAAATTTCACGACATCTGCTCACACTATTGCACCAACTAACCCATGTGTGAGCAGCATCCGTTGCCTTCAATCAACAATTACACTCCCTCCCCCAACACCACCAAAGCACAATTCCTTCGACAAATCACTACTATATTAGCACCACCTGTCAGCACAGCACTTCCAATCAAAGCACCTCCTACCAATCAAAACAACACTCATAAAAGCACCTTCCTATGGAAAATTATCTCCTCCCTACCCCCCTTCCACTCACACACCTTAGAACCACTCAACCCCCTATTAGAACAACACACTGCTTATATTAGTGTGCACCACAAAATATTCCCAACGCTTCCATTAAAAATACTCACCAACATATCAAAGCACCACCAACATTAAAACCACCCCCTCCTATTAAAGCGCCACCTATACCCCCGCCCCCATTAGAATCACCCCCCCCCCACATATCAAAGATCCACCCAATACCCAAACCACCCAAATTAAAACCACCCCCTCGTACCAAAGCACCACCAGTTCCCCCACCACCCCCATTAGAATCACCCCCCCCCCATATCAAAGCACCACCAATGCCCCTACCACCCCCATTAGAACCACCCCCCCATATCAAAGCACCAGCAATGCCCATACTACCCCCATTCGAACCACCCCTCCCGTCCCCCATATCAAAGCACCACCCAATACCCCCCACCCACATTAACCCCCCCCCCCATACCAAAGCACCAACTAATACCCCCACCACCCACATTAAAATCTCCACCCCCACCACCACCCACTTTAAAATCTCCCCTCATACCAAAGCACCACCCATTACCCCCCCCCCCACCCATTAGAAACCACCCCCTCCCCATATCAAAGCACCACCCAATACCCCCCACCCACATTAAAATCCCCCCCATACCAAAGCACCACCCATTACCCCCCCACTACCCCCATTAGAACCCCCTCCCCCCATACCAAAGCACCACGCCTACTCACCAGTCTCCCGGCCTCGTTGTTGTGCAGTTGAATCATGGTCGTGAAGTCACCACGCCTCTTCCGCTTCCGGGCGTCCATGAACTCGCGCGACTTCTGGTTGCCGTACTCGACGTTGTCGCTGCACCCGCCCCACTCCCAGGCGCCGTCCGTGCTCTCGTCACGTGCGTTATGGTCGCACGTGCACTGGTAGAGCTCACCTAGACTGCACGCCTGGGTCACCGTGTACACCACGCCGGCTGCCGTACTCGCGTACACAAAGGCCGACTCCCGGATATCTGAAATAGATCAATGGGGAAGAACTCTGGAATCAAAGGGAGATAACTCGCGCGCGATCGTTTCATGTAAGGCGGTGCGTCTTTTGAAAGTTGGCGCTTAAAATAATGTTTAGAGCTTGATAAATAAACTCTATTATCGCAATGAAGTTGTAGTAATCGTCGGGCAAGGTGGATCAGGTTATACATACATTATATATATATATATATATATATATATATATATATATATATATATATATATATATATATATATATATATATATATATATATATCGTAATATATCACAATTTATGCGTTTTTAATGATAAAATTATTCGAATATACATATAAATATGAAAAAAGTAAATAATCCCTTGCATTTAGAACCTACGTCAGATAAAATGGCGTAGCTAAAAATATCTAGTTAGAGCTAGTCATAGCTGATGTGACTAACTTTTACGCAGTAGTGAGAGGTGGGTTGGGAGGGTGTGCGGGACTGGTGGGTAGGTAGGAGGTAGGGCTGGTGGTTATAGGGTGGGTGGGTTGTAATGGTGGTTAGCTGGAGGGTAGGGGTGGGGATGGCGGTTAGGGAAGTTAGGGGTCGGTAGTAAGGAAGGGGGTGGAGCTAGGGAGCTAGTGGTTAGGGAGGGGGTGGGGCTTGTGGTTAAGGAGGGGTGGTAAGAGGTTAGGGAGGGGGTGGGGTTTTGTGATTAGGAAGGGGATGGGGCTGGTGATTATGGAGGGTGAGTGGGCTTGTTCCCAACTTGCGGCAGAACTATTTATTTACTCAGAAAACCTTACAATGTGATTATTTTTACGCTAATCCCTCCTTTCATAGTTTGTTTAATTCTTAATGTTTATGTTTTAAAAGTCACCAACAGCACTACCCACTCTCTTACCTTAACCTAAACGGTTAAAGTGACTAGACACCCGGGCCGTGTGCGATCAATACACCAGATACAGTACGTCGCCCATACACATACTCGAGTTCTTTTCTTGCCCATAACCTCAATGTAACAAGTCACTTATTTTACACTACAGGGAAACAACTGGGCTAGAATACTCTCTCGTAGGTTCAGTACAACTTAGGGACGATACCCCCTTAAAGATATTACCCTATAATTCACCAATTGGAAACATAAAACATCTCTTCACACCTTTTACTAAGAAATACTGTATCTCTGACCCGGGTAAAATTTCTGACGCAGGTAATACCGTCTCTCTGACCCAGGTAAAATCTCTGACCCAGGTAAAATCTCTGACCCAGGTAAAATCTCTGACCCAGGTAAAATCTCTGACCCAGGTAAAATCTCTGACCCACGTAAAATCTCTGACCCACGTAAAATCTCTGATCCAGGTAAAATCTCTGACCCAGCTAATACCGGTCTCTGACCCAGGTAAAATCTCTGACCCAGGTAAAATCTCTGACCCAGGTAAAATCTCTGACCCAGGTAAAATCTCTGACCCAGGTAAAATCTCTGACCCAGCTAATACCAGTGTTCGTCAAGTGGTCTTTCAGTCGCTTATCGCCCAATCCAAACGTCAAGAGCAGTAAAATAAAAAGGGAAGCAATTCTAACATCCCCATCAGGGCGCCTAGCTCCCCATTTGTTGTCTTTATTTTATTGATACCCTCACTAAACACGCCACGATTAATCCCGGTCGCCAATTTTTTTATTACTATTATTCTTTTTTTCGAGCTTTCATTCACCGAGTTACCCACCTCTTGTCACTCAGGCGCGTAGAGTTAAGGCCCTTGCTTTACCGTGCGCTGGGGAGCTATAAAATCACCGGTATTCCAACATCAGCCGCGTCTAGCGTCTCCGTAGATTCTTCAACTATTCGGACACCGCCGGGTCGTAAAAAAAAGTAACTAAAAACGTAGACAATAGCTACGCGAAGACTGACCACAAATTCTTCTAGCTGATTAATTTCAATGAACGAGCTATGCTAATTTTTTTCCCCGTTACTAAGAATGTCGGCGTTATAATGGTTTGACACATTACTCAAGCTACACACTAGTGCCACAAACCACACACAAATATCACACAGAAATACCACAAAACCACATTGTCAATAACAGTGTTCTTGAAATTTTAAAATACAAATGGTGTGAAACTAAAACTTCAAAACGGATTTTTTTTCTTCACAGGACGAAAGCAGGTACAACTACAGGAATAATTTCAACCTTCGTACCGTGTTTTAAAAGAAATTTATAAGAGGGGTGGGGGTAGTGGGGGAGAGGGTTAGCCCACACACGTAGCAACAAACCAATCGACGCGAGGGTATCACGCATCTTCTTCGCGAATCTTCCATTTGTTTTGAACATTGAGAGAATATTTGAATATTTTACCTGCAATATTTTTTTTCTTTTATTATAGCGGACAGTAAGTATGTGATGTGTATGGATAGTGGGCAACATGTATGTAATGCGTGCGAACAGTGAACCATGTATGTTATGTGTGAGATCCTGTCATGTCAGTGAGGTTCTGTCAGTAAGGTTCTGTCAGTGAGGTTCTGTCGTGTCAGTGAGGATCTGTCAGTGAGGTTCTGTCAGTGAGGTTCTGTCAGTGAGGTTCTGTCATGTCAGTGAGGTTCTGTCATGTCAGTGAGGTTCTGTCAGTGAGGTTCTGTCAGTGAGGTTCTGTCATGTCAGTGAGGTTCTGTCATGTCAGTGAGGTTCTGTCAGTGAGGTTCTGTCAGTGAGGTTCTGTCAAGTGAAGACGTTCAGGGACCTGGTGTCAGATATTTTAAGTCTACTCATCAAACTTGCTGAATAAGTTGAAAAAAATAATGGCCGATTTTTTCACGGCCGATTTTTTTCATGGCCGATTTTTCCGATTTAAAAAAAAAATGAAGGCTGTAGTCTGGTTTAGATTGCCGTTTCATTTGCCACAAAAAACCGCGTTTAATAACCAGCATCAGCGCGTTCATTTGCCAACAGTAGGTGCTGGGAGGGGAGGTAAGACGTGGTTCATTAGCCAACAGCACAAAGCGTTTATTAGCCAACAGCACCGCGTTCAATACCCAACAGCACCGCGTTCATTAGACAACAGCACCGCGTTCAATACCCAACAACACCGCGTTCATTAGCCACCAGCACCGCGTTCAATAGCCAACAGCATCGCGTTCATTAGACAATAGCACAAAGCGTTCAATACCCAACAGCACCGCGTTCATTAACCAACAGCACCGCGTTCATTAACCAACAGCACCGCGTTCATTAACCAACAGCACCGCGTTCATTAACCAACAGCACCGCGTTCATTAGCCAACAGCACCGCGTTCATTAGCCAACAGCACCGCGTTCAATACCCAACAGCACCGCGTTCATTAACCAACAGCATCGCGTTCATTAGCCAACAGCACCGCGTTCATTAGCCAACAGCACCGCGTTCAATACCCAACAGCACCGCGTTCATTACCCAACAGCACCGCGTTCATTAGCCAACAACACCGCGTTCATTAGCCAACAGCACCGCGTTCATTAGCCAACAGCACAAGGCGTTCATTAGCCAACAGCACCGCGTTCATTAGCCAACAGCACCGCGTTCATTAGCCAACAGCACCGCGTTCATTAGCCAACAGCACTGCGTTCATTAGCCAACAGCACTGCGTTCATTAGCCAACAGCACTGCGTTCATTAGCCAACAACACCGCGTTCATTAGCCAACAGCACCGCGTTCAATACCCAACAGCACTGCGTTCATTAGCCAACAGCACTGCGTTCATTAGCCAACAGCACAAGGCGTTTATTAGCCAACAGTACAAGGCGTTTATTAGCCAACAGCACTGCGTTCATTAGCCAACAGCACTGCGTTCATTAGCCAACAGCACTGCGTTCATTAGCCAACAGCACTGCGTTCATTAGCCAACAGCACTGCGTTCATTAGCCAACAGCACTGCGTTCATTAGCTAACAGCACTGCGTTCATTAGCCAACAGCACAAGGCGTTTATTAGCCAACAGTACAAGGCGTTTATTAGCCAACAGCACTGCGTTCATTAGCCAACAGCACTGCGTTCATTAGCCAACAGCACTGCGTTCATTAGCCAACAGCACTGCGTTCATTAGCCAACAGCACTGCGTTCATTAGCCAACAGCACTGCGTTCATTAGCCAACAGCACTGCGTTCAATACCCAACAGCACCGCGTTCATTAGCCAACAGCACTGTGTTCAAACAGCGGCGTTCAACAAACAACACAGCGTTTAACCACTCACGTACGCAGCCCTCGGGGACGCTAATCAAGAAAAATTATCTTATTACCGTTCACAGGGCATGTTCAAAGACATCCAACTCGCCGGACGGGCGGTATCGATACCGCGAGTATCGACTAAATGTCCACCGACGAGAGGTATTCGCAGTTTTCAACACTTGTTATATTGTAATATATGTAAGGAGGGGTCCCATAAGAAATATTTTTTTTTAAATCTTAATTTTTGAAAGTAAAAATCCAATTACTTAGTTGTCTTTTGCGTATTACAAGAATATAAAAAAATAATTCTTTAAAAAACTTCGAATTTATGGCAATTTATTAAGTGTGCAGAATATGGATTACTAGCACTTTAATTTCCAAATGTACTGGGTACTGGGTACCTATTAAAGCTGGGTGTGCTCATGAATATATTTGGAGATCAAATTCAAACATATATTTTAAGAAGCACAAAACTAACACTAAGAAGTTGCAAGTAATATTTTATCTTTTAAAAAAATAATGATGAATTTAAATAAACCTCTAAAGTAAATTAAAATTGTATTTCAAACAAGCTATTTTTTTATCATTGTTAGATTATTTAAAAAAAATACAAAATATCTTTTTGTTTTCTAAAATAACAAACAGGTAGCTCCGCATTTGAGACCAGGTAAAATTGGAGTATCGATTCCTAGGCGCGGTATCGCCCGTCTAGCTAGATCGCTTTGAAGTTGGGAAAAGTGGGCGAGGAGGTGGGGGGCGGGATCTCGTAAATACATCTCAAAGAAGCTGAGGGGAAGAAGGTTTGGTGCCGCGGTATTGCAAGAC